GAGGTATGCAAGCAGTTGATAAACTGGCTCGGTTGAAAATATTTTTGCTATGAAAGTGCCCCAACTATTCGACAGAAATTTCTCTGCTTTCCATGTTTTGTTCATCATCGTAACCGCCAGTTTCTTGTCAGTTTCCTTGGTTTTAGAGAGCATAGATGTTCTGGTATTTCATTTTCCCCCATTGGATTTCATTACATTGTGAGATTGTCTTGATTTAACGAACGAATAAGTTCATCTTTTTTTGCCTTCCAAATGCACCCTTACTCTTTTGGCCTGGATATTGCTCTGATACTTATTTAATTTAAGTAGGTGCGGCTCCTATACAGACAGCAATGAGGATTGAGCAAGGTAATAATGATTTCGAGACGAAGGCAACGGTTCTTTTTAGTCCTACACCACTTGTGCGAGTGTATTTCGGGTTCAAGTTTAACAGCTCCGTCAAAGAAATTAAATCTCATTTAATAACGCTCGCTATTCTGGGGCATCCACACTGATACCGCTTTCTATCATCGTAACTGATCTAAACTTCTGCAATTATGATGTGTCACGATGGTAGTCATCCTTTTTCACATACAATCAAACATCTCTATTTGACTTAAATTCCTCTCATAGTTTCACGTGATTTACACGGGGTCGATTTTTTTGCGGCGGTCCGCGTGTATATGTGGACGTGTCGTCGATCCCCCTAGGACTTCTATTCTCCCAAAGGTGGTAGGATCATCGGAACAAATGGAACAAATAATCAACCCTCGCCATGAGTCTAGTGTATTGCACCGACGGTTTGATCCAGATACTGATGCAAATCTCTACATTGACTTGGAAAATTTGCCTCCAAACACACCAATGATGTCATTTGAAGACACCTACGATTTCGAGGTAGATGGAGGCATCGAAATCCCTCTCTTCATAGCAGGCCCCATGAAAGTCTTACTTTGTCTTGTTGAGGATAGCGTATTTGATAATAGTGATGACTTCATGGATGATCTCGGCTACCGTCTGATATATGACCCAACACCCTATGAACCTGAGTGTGATGTGTGCTGTTTGGTGGAGTGGCTCCTGACGGAATGTCATAATTACGCTGAGTGTTTGACAGAGCTGTTTGGGTTGGAACAGATTCGAATTTTTGAGATTATGAGGGAGATTTGGTGTCGATTACGTCCGAAACCTGTGGCCTTTTCGGGGCTACATGTTCAGTTTTCACGAGAGATTAACTATCTTACGATACCTTTATCTAATATTTACAATCTCCCTCTATTTCCATACCTTGGACATTTCCCACTGCCTTGGGAGGAGAGGCGAGACTCTTCGTTGGAGTGGACTTATGGCTTCATGTCGCTTGTTCATGACGACATTGTGAATGCAGGTCGACGTGGTCCTGTATCGTGTTTTCTTTTTATTAACATAATGCGGATCTTGCGTGCGTACATTGCGAACGTATTGCCTTCTGTTGATGCGGGAACAAATCCATCCCTATACGTATTAAATGCCATCCGGGAAGACCAAGAAATAGTGCTATCAGCCATCATGAAACTGTCTAAGGCTCTCTTTCTCACGATCGCGGAATTGGAGGGAGATTGGCTCCCTGAAGATAGCCCACCGCCTCCGGGCTTTCGTAAAGAGGAGAGCTTATGGTATCGTCTCAGCATACGACGAATTGTGGAGAATCTGCTGACGATGAACTTTGCCGAGTTATTTTTTAATTCAACCACTCCGAAAGATCTTTACATGCAAAGTTGCCGCTGTTCGCTCTCTACATTTCTGTGCCCTTGCCGTTTTGCGCACTATCTTGAATCTACAAATGGGCTCTGACTATTTTCATTCCCCTGAAGGAGGAAGGGCATCCAATTCGATTTTCCCTTTGTCATGTGTCAGGCGAGTTCACACCTTGTCAATGTCATGACTACACGACGGAGTGCACAATTTAATTGAATGAATACATTCAACCAATCGTATTGTGCTATTCGAGCCTTTTTTGTTTTGTTTTGTTTTGTTCTCCATGAACTCGAGATTTAGGAAAGTGGAAAGGATTTGGCATTATTTAGGGGTGACTAAAATGCTACTCTTTCCGACATCTCGTAAGCGACAAAGGGGAAGGAGTGAGCCTAGAAACCTCGCACAACAGAGCTGCTCTCTTACCGTCTTCGTAATTTAAATAATCCTGTCTAGAGGTGACTTGGACAGTCATAATTGATCCCTTGACAACCGGTGACCCGAACTCACGTGACGGGGGATCAATCTCGGTTAGAGTGGATGCTCCGTTGAACGGTGTGGGCGTCATGAATTGCGGAGTCTCTGATTGTTTTCGCCACTTCTGTGGTCTTCCTCATCGTATTTTCAATCCTCAGTGTGATGACCATCTCTACATTGACTTGGAGTGCATGAATCCGGAAACGCGCATGGAACGGTTTGATGATAAATACAAATTCTGTGCGGTAGAGGGTGCACTCATACCCGTCTTCATAGCGGGTCCTTTGATAGTGTTGCGTATGCGCTATGAATGCAATCAGAATGTTGATAGATCTAGACGCTTCTTTGAGTGTCTCGACTATACCTCGGTGTGCGATCCAACACCGGAAAATCCTCAGTGTTTGGTTTGCTGTTGGGTGCGATGGCTGCTGACACAATGTTGCGCCTTACAGGATTGCATAGACCACTTTCGCAATTTGGAAGAAATCATCGTGTTTGAAGTGATGCGAGAGATTCTTCTTCGGCTGAAGCCGAAGCCTCTCTTCATTTCACCTCGACATCTTCACTTTGCAAAGCTGTTCAATTACATTGGACTGCCATTGCGCAGTTTCTTGCACACTCCCGCTCTTCCCCACTGTATTATTCCATGTAGCAATTGGTGTGATCGTTTGTTGGGTTCACTGGAGTGGACAAATGGATTTATGTATCTCCTCTACAAGGACCTTGGTGACCAAGGCATTAGAAGCCACGTAGCACGATTCGTCTTCGTTAATCTCATTCGAATTTTGCGTCGACACAGTGAGTCTGCGTTTCCCCCGCAGCCTGACATAAACTTTCCTCAATACTACATGCTTGAGGCTGTCCAATGTAATCAGGAAGAGGCACTACGACCAATCATGAAGTTTGCAAAAGCTCTCTACCTTGCCCTCCTGGAGTACGAGCCCTATGGGTTTGTGTGTGATACTCCACCGATTCCGGGCTGTAGGAGGGAGGAGGTCTACGTCTACCAACACAACCTTCTACGTGTTATGGAAAATATTTTCATGATGAATGTTACCGACGTATTCTACAATAACGCCGACCTCAACAGCATAATCGTGCATAACCTCGAGGTGCACGGTACGCCCAACGAGTGCATGTGTCGTTTCGCCCAATCCCTTCAGCAGGAAGACTGCTAACTCCAGCACTTTCGAAGGGACAGTGAATAGTAAAGCTAAGGTGTCTTGCTTTATGGCATGCCATCAAGACCGTGAATGCTGAATTCAATCTAAATTAATAAATTCAACAAAT